GTGAATCTAAATCTAGTAAGCGAGAAAATCTTTCTGTTATTTCTGTAATGAAGCGATCAATAACATCCTTTATGTTTCGATAAATTTCCTGTTCAGCATTCAATCCAGCATCAGCTGCATTTTCACCTGGCATTCGTTTACGGCGTATTTTTCTTCTTTCAATGGTCAATCCACATGTTTCACATTGATTATTGCCCACGTTAAGTGCTTCTTGACAGAACTTTTCAAGTGATTCTATCAATTTCTCTTTCAAAGAATCGATATCAGCACCTGCTTCTCTAAAATTCATTTTTGGGTCCTGAAGACGTTTCTACACTCGATTGATAGATGATAAAAGATTTCTCCAAAAATGCAAAAGTACAAGAAAATCAAATGTAAGCATGCGTTGCAGAATATTATGAGCACCACATTTTGTTTCAGCCGTGTTGCCATTCTCACTTAATTGCTCTAACAGTCCCAGCAATTCATCCAGTTTTTCATGTACAACTTTTACTGCCTTTTCTCTTGCACTCCACCGTGTTTCTGATTCACGATTGACAGAGATCTTAAGCTCCTGCTGCAGTTCGTCCCATCGAGTTGTTGAATGAGCAAAGAAATTATAAATGGCTTCAATTATACCTAAAAAGGTAATAACTGTTGTTTCCTGATTTACAGCATGAAGACATGCTAAGTTCAAACTATGGTTGTCACAGTTTATAAACACTGTTTTTGGATTTTTGTTCAGAATTCTTTGTTGAACGCATGACAGATGACCTGACATGACAGCAGCATTATCATAACATTGAGAACAACAATCACTCAATAAAATTCCATCCGCTTCCAATTTTGTGCTTATTGTTTTTCCTTTATCTGTATAAAGTCACTAAATAACTCTTTGACTTCTACTTTTCTTGTCTTAAAGTCTATGCCAACAATATTCTGTGGATTTGTTTCTGACAAAGTGGAATCCTCTTGTTTATCATTATTGTAGCTTTTAACAGGACAGAGAACAGTTTCTTCATTGTTTTCTTTTTCAAATGAAATAGCATGTTCACAATCTTGCACTTTGACCTCTTTGCTGCCATCAAAAGGAACAGATGCTAGCTTCCTGGTGTCATCAATTCCAGCAAGGAAAGCTCTCATCAATTTGCTTGACTCCACCATCGAATCTGCAAATTGTGCACGTCTTTTGCGTCTCTGTGCCCCAATTTTTGTTTTGACATAATGGGCTAAAAGAATAAATTAATAAATACAAACTACACTATTTAGTTATAACATGCAAATTGCCAGATGAAAGGAAGCATTATACTTTCCTAAGTTCCTAACCACAAATTATATTTAAATTATACAATTATAGTTGCAACTCAGGAATAGTTAGGCACATCAGGACCTGGTTTCACTTTAACTGCCATTATTTAGACCACCCACACTCATGTTAATTAATGTGACACAACAGTAAGAAAATCAATGCAGATGAGTGTATATGCTGGTAAATCATGCTTATGAGCACCATATAAATTACTGGCAGTTGCTAAATCACATTTAAAAACTCGATAGGTTTACCTACACGAACACTACAGGAGACAAGTCTGAAATTGCTCGAATTAAATTTACAAACACTGTGAAGAATGGAGTAATCATAACATAATATAAGCATAGAGGCTCAAAGGCTATATTTAGTATTAAAGGTTTTGATAGAATGAGAAAACTTAAATATATGCTAACTAATTAGTGATGTCAGATTATAGTTCCTAGATTAAGTCACTAGTACATCTAGATCTAACATTAATGTTAGACCTGTTATTTCCATCTTTTTAGTCTTAGGTTT